CTCCCATACAACCGTCTCAAGACCTGCTCCCGTCTCCTCCCCCTGGGCCAACCAGTCGGAGTCCAAGCCTTCTCGAATCCGCGCGACTTTGTCATACAGATACTGCACAAAGTCCTCTGCCCTCCCCTCCAGGGGGTCCCCCCCCCTCTCCGATTGAAGGAGAGAGCGGGTCACCCTGAAGAGGGCGGCAGGGCGGTTACCAGAAGACATTTTGAGAATTCAGGGATATGTAAGTACAGTAAATAAATAGCTACATATTTTTTTAGCAATAGCAATAGCACTTAGATTTACAGTATATACTGCTTCATAGTGCTTTACAGCCCTCTCTAAGTGGTTTACAGCATCATTATTGCTCCCAACAATCCGGGTCCTCATTTTATCAACCTTGGAAGGATGGAAAGCTGAGTCAACCTTGAGCCAGTCAGGACTGAACTCCTGGCAGTGAGCAGAGTCAGCCTGCAATACTGCATTTTAACTACTGTGCCACCACGGCTCTTTCCTAGTGGCTCAAGGTTGACTCAGAAGTGAGTTGACATATTGGCACAATTTATATCAAGCTGGGTCATGAACATTCGTGATTTATTGCATTTAGGTCCTATTAGTCTAACATCCTATCTGCCACAATGTCCTTCAGAAAACCTTCAAATATAGCAGGAGCTTAATTTTTGCAATAAGCCACGAGAAATCCATCATCATATTCTTTGATGGGGAATGCCACTTATTTTAAAACAGTAAGAATTCAGAAACAACTGGTACATTTACTTATTTATTTATTTATTTATTTATATTTCACATTTCTGAACTGGGTCCATCTCTCTCAAAGAGGGATTCTGGGAGATGTACAATAAAACAGCAAAGATCAGAAGACAAAAGAGTACGGTCACCACCAAGAGTATGGTCACTCAAGATGTTGAGACTCTAGAAAGAGTACAGAGAAGAGCAACAAAGATGATCAGGGGACTGGAGGCTAAAACATATAAGGAACGGTTGTTGGAATTGGGTATGTCTAGTTTAACGAAGAGAAGGATGAGGGGGGACATGATAGCAGTGTTCCAGTATTTCAGGGGTTGTCACAAAGAAGAGGGAGTCAAGCTATTCTTCAAAGCTCCTGAAGGCAGGACAAGAAGCAACGGATGGAAACTAATCAAGGAGAGAAGCAA